GCCCATTTACCCACCGGTATCACCGGGGGTAACGCTGGTGTCAGTGTCTTGTTGAAGGACACTTCGACATGTGGACTGGAGGGGCCAGGGACTGAACCACCAAACCTATGGTTAGGGGACGAGCCGCTCCACCTCCTGACCATCATGATTCTTTTCTACAAAGCTTTTTGGATCATGTTGCATTAAAAGTTATAAGTTAAAACTACAGTATGTAACTTTTCCCAAATGTTGTTGTAGAAATCTGCTCCAACACGTGTCCTAACGTGGAGCGGTGCTGTCGAAGCCTCCTGTGGCCCAGACTCAGTGAACTGGCAGCAGTGCAGACACATCAGCTTCTAAATGATTTGAGTGGGACTGACCTCTGACCAGTCAGAGATTTTTACTTACTGATCAGTGAGTTTTGTTGCATTCTCATTTATTGTAATTTCATAGGGACAAATATGTGCAGAGCGTGGCAGAGCGTGGCGGAGCGTAGCAGGTCATAGTGGAGCAGGGCGGGTTGGATTGGAGGGTCACGCTGGTTTAAGTTACATACTGTAGCTTTGATATGAACAGGAATAGGACGTATGATGTTTCTATGGATCCAACTTCGTCCTGTCTGAATCCTGTTTGTGCTGATGCATAAGAATTTGGCCGTAGGTAAACCAGCAGGTTCATCCACTCACATCTCTCTCTCTCTCTCTCTCTCTCTCTCTCTCTCCTCCCCCCCCCTCTCTACCTTAGATATCTGACCGGCATATCTGACCGGCCCTGTCTTTCTCACCTGCAGGAACTCTCTCTTCAAATGTCTCTGTCAGTCTCGATCACCAGTTGTATACTCCAAATAAAAACAAACCAGGGGCAAATCACACACCCTTTAGGATTCACAGGTGTTTGATCAGTTAAAAATGTTAACTATGTGGCCAAAAGTATATGGACAGCAGAACAATACCTCACTATTTGACACTTGGATTGTGTACATTTTTGTTCTTACTGGCCATCACTGGGTTTCCTCACCTCTGGCCCATATAAGTTTTTTCTTTAAGTAAATTTTCTTCTCTGACATTTGGTTTGATTTATTTACATCAATGTTGTGCAAAAATGAGCAGAAGTGATAAAAGTACTGAGGCAGAAATATAAAAACTGAAAACAAGTCCTCAAACATGATCCTCAGTCAAACAGACAAATGTGGCACAGTTTCATTTCAGGACCTTCAAGTGAGTCAGGTTCATTTTGTTTGACTAAACGGGCGGAGAACAGACACAGTCACATGCTCAAGGAAGTACAGGACTATTTACATTGCTCTTGTCTTACTACTGCATGTGTTACGCAGAGGTCACTATTTAGCTGGTATAAATTTGATCAGAGTGTTAGCAAGCTAACACAAAGGGCTAATAAAACTGTCATCAGTTTCACAGATATTTAAAACAAAACAAAACACCAAAACTATTAGAATTCATGCTGACAGGACAATTTATCCTGAATTATTTATAAACAGAAAACCAATCTGTAGCTATTTCAGTCTGGACCAAGGTGGTCGACCAACACTCCCCTTAAAACACCTGCACCTATATGTCCATGTAGCAAATTAGCATGCACGTCAGCAGCAGCTGGACTTTAACAACCTGTTGTATGCTAACATTATTTGCATGTTGATATGCTACCTAAAATGCAATGTTTAAGATATTGCCTTGTTAGCATACCTAAATGCTAACATAGGCATGAACACAACAATTTAACAACTTAGCATGATGATGCTATATGCTATATAAACTAAAGCATACAGTCCTTTAGACTGAGAAAAAAAACTAGTGACATCTCAAGTAAACATCCAGTGCAAAATTCAATCCATCCAAAACTCGATACAATTGTTAGCACATGACGCTAGTGTGGCTTAAAAATGGTGACCTGTTGTTTGTATTGTTACTATTCAGGTCAATGGGAACGAGTGAAAGTCAATAGGTGATGCTAAAGGTTACAGAGAAGTTAGAAGGCCAAGACTGACTCACATACTGTACACAAGACTGGGTGTAAGACCACGGCACAGGAAATACACTCACACACAGTGGTGCAGTGGAAATCTCTCTTGGACATACTCAGTACCACTTCCTTTTCCTGCCATACAACCAGAGCTGCCACCAAGTGAGTTAAAGGTTGTGCTCTAGTAGGCACAACGTCAAAAATTCATGAACTCTCTGGAGAATATCAGAGTGTGTTAGAAAATCATCTGCTGAATTCATTTTTGCTGCAGATATTTACTGACCAGTCAAACAGATTTTAGACAGGAAAGAAAAGTCTCCCCACTTTTGGAAAGGCAATTTCACAAGACCAGGAAACCAGCAGCCACAGAAAAGGACATTTACTGTGTTATTATACCATCTTCTCTTGTCTTTCTTTATTAAGACAAATCAATGAACGTCTAGAAAAGATTTGTAGGAAAGTTTACAGAAACTAAAACCTTCTGCATGTCAACAGCTGAAGTGTCTACTGCACTGTACTTGTCTGATTCTGTTACTTTCTCACTGTGTGCATTAACAGCACACAGGAATTTAGTCTGTGCCACAACTTTTTATGAAAGGACAGAAAACGTTTGGGTGTTTTAAAATCAAAGATTAAAGCTCAAACAGTTAATTAATCAGTTAGTTGCTATTGAAATATAACCACAACTATGTTGATAATCAATTAATCTTTACAGTCATTTTCCTGCTGTTTGTTTGCAATGTGCCACTGTAAAATTAATAATGATAATAAACTGGACTTTGAACACTATGACTTTATATAAAAGATGGACAAACCCTCCTTTAAGTCACCCATCGGTTTTCAGAAGAGCAGTTTTAAAGCTCAAGTCTGGCCGTCGCCATATTGGTAGCGCTGCAGTCCACCTGCTAGGACTAATCTAAAAACGGGCAAAGTGTGCGTGGAGGTCTCTAGACAGCTAGCGGCCAGCCACCTTTGGGCCCGTTTATTAACAATGTTTTTACATGTTTCACGTGCAAAGTTCTGCAAATACACACAGGAGCCTGAAAACCTCCAAAGTTACACAATTAGAAAACCTAATCTGGAAATTAAGTAACCAATTAATTAACTAATGGTAAATGGACTGTACTTATATAGCGCATTTTTCACAGTGTGTTTCACTGGCCAAAGCGCTTTAGAGGAGATCATACACCATTCACCCATTCACACACCGATGACGACAGGCTGCCACACAACGGCGCAATTTGGGGTTCACTGTCTTGCTTGGGGACACTTAGGCATGTGGGGAGTCGAACCACCAACTTGCTGGTCAGAAGACGACTGCCCTGCCTTGTGAGCCACAGCCACCCCCCACTTAACTAATATTGATGCACCCTGCTCCATTTGGTGCACTGTAACAATAAAAATGGCTTCTCTGTAATATTGCAGACACACTGATAACAGTAGTGGAGCTAAAAATGTTAAGTTTGGGTGGTGCTAAATCTCACTGAGAGCTATCTACATGTTCAAAAAGGTGGACTTCCATCCATCCGTTATCTATACTGCTTATCCTGAACAGGGTTACGGGGGCTGGAGCCAATCCCAGCTGACACTGGGCAAGAGGCGGGGGCCACCCTGAACAGGTCGCCAGTCTATCACAGGACTGACATGTAGACAAACAACCACGGGCAATTTAGAGTCGCCAATACACTTATATTTAGAGTCTCCAGTCAACCTAAGCTGCATGTCTTTGGACTGTGGGAGGAAGCTGGAGCACCCAGAGAGAACCCACACAGGAACAGGGAGAACATGGAGACTCTGGCCAGGGCTCAAACACAAAACTTGTTGCCTAACTCTTATCATAATCCTTATTGAAAGGAATTTGTTATTTTGAATGATATGACTGTGATTATTTTTGTTTTTCCTAAATGATTTTAATGTTTTGATGTCACTGTTACAGTCACTTCACTGTGTTTTGCAGTATAAGGAACACCAGGTGTAAACCGTCTGTTTAGACCTGCTGAGGTTTTAACTCATAGGATCAGCTCAGTTAAAGGCCTTTATCCATTCTCACTGCCTGCTTTGCCTGTCACACATTTTCCTTTCCTCACCTACAATTTTTTACTGACTAGTAAAAGGTTAAAACTAGAGGATACACTCAGTGAGCACTTTATTAGGAACAGCTGTACAACTGAAAGCAATCTATTAGAACAGCCCTGCCATAACATCTGGCTTTATGACGCTCATAATCTTTTATATTCAGAGGTGTTCTTCATATTCTGAGCTCCTCGTGTATGTAAACAGGGAGAACAAACACACAGTCAGCTCTGTACATGATGCAACACCACTTTTAACTATACATACTGGATTGCATTCAGTTGTATAGCAGGATAATATTATGATACAATACAGTCATGGAAAGTAACTAAGTGCATTTAGGCTACTCAAGTACTAAAGTACACTTTTCAGATATTCATACTTGAGTATTTTCTCTTACTTCTATTAGTTTTGCTACTTCAGGTGTGTTTGGATGCCAATACTTTTGTGCTTAAGTAGCATTTTGAATGCAGGACTTTTACTTGTAACAGTATTTTTACATTGTGGTATTTCTACTTTTACTTAAGTAGAGGAACTTCTTCCACCACTGCTGTGCTGAATAACTGACTGTCTGGGTTAAAACATCTGACTCAGAGTCTTGCTAGACTTTCCATGACTACATTTCTACTGTAACTAATGCACTACTGGAGGGATTTTGTCCCATATAATCCAGAAAGGGCTAAATTAAACAACACTGATCTTAGAACACAAGTAGGTACCTGACCAATAACACGGTGAAATGTGCCTTCAATAAGTGCACGTTTTAGATTCCTGGCACAGTCTTTGCATAAACGCTGGGTTTAACCTTCCACCGTCTCCAAACAGGCCGCAGGCCAGAGCTTTGGATCTAATGTAACATTAGATGTTAGTATCTCTGGATGTGTGCGGCTTTAAGTCCCGGTGTTTTCCACGGTGCACACGTGCAGGTACACGTCGTGCACAGTACGGTGTCCACAGTGGAGACTCACCCCAAGGTGCTGATGAAGCCGTTGACTGTCCCCTCGGCGTACAGGGACACGATATCCCCGATGTGAAGGAAACTGGAGGCAGAGTCCGACATCGTGCAGCCGATTCACGCTCCTCCAGCAGCGAGAACAGCGCACATGTAGAGAGGAAGGAAAACTTTCTCAGCTAGGAGAAAGCTTCAGAGGCAGAGAGAGACCCAAAGTTCAGTCTGTACCTGACCTGCAGCAGACAGACGAGAGGAAACGCTCCTTAGATTCAACCTGCAGAGTCCCCTGCTCACTGGCGGCTTTCACGGAGTCACTGCCGGGTTCTGCATGGCAGCACAGCTCTGAAGAAGTTCGGAGGTGAAAAACATGAGCGCACAAAGTCGGACAAACAGCTGATGGACCCTGACGTGTTACAGGACATATCATGGAGTAGTTCAGAAATCCTCTGAAGGCGCGTCCGGGAGGTTAAAGTGGCCACACAACACGGCTGTGCGCTGTGCGCTCCCTCCCTCTGCTCTGTCAGTGTGTATGGGGAGCGTGTGTGCGCGCGCCCACGCACAAGACTCTAGTATAAAGAACCAGGAAGTTGAGCCGAGGTATCGATAAAACAGCTGCAAGAAAGAGAACTGCTGCAGGCCTCACGCAACTGCGTAACTGTGTCTCTGTGAGGACCCTCGTTAACATAAAGCATCAGCCCCCTGTCCACAACCAGAGGTGGGAGCTAGGTACACTGGCTCAAGTACTGTACTGAAGTACAAATGTGAGGTACTTCACTTGAGTATTTCTATTTCCTGCTACTTCATTCTGTGACTTCACCACATGTCAGAGACAGACCGTGTACTTTTTACTACACTACATGTACCTGATAACTTCAGGTCCAGAACCAGATGAATCAAACCAAACCCAGTAGAACCATCAGACTCTATTGATCCCAGCAGGATGGAAAGTACTTCCCAGTATAAGTATATAAGGTAGTTACCATCAGCTCCACCTTTACCAGCTGCAGCATTAAAGTGATGGACACAGTAATTAGTCACTATGATCCAGTATCAGAGACGTTACTGGGACACGGGTCGTTCTGCTGGACCAGTACTGGTACTGCTGGTACTTCAGGTAGATTTGATGCTACTTTTGTACTTTTACTTACTGTAAGTAACATTTTGAATACAGGACTTTTACTTGTAACAGAGTGTTTTACACTGTGGTATTACTACTCTTCTTTAAGCAAAGGATCTGAGTACTTCTTCCACCACTAACCCTAACCATCCGAGCTACGTCTAAACCTACCCCCACCATCCGAGCTACGTCTAAACCTACCCCACACCTTTACCTGACTGCAACCTGAACCCTAAAACCAGGTCCAAACAGCCAAACATACTCCCAGTACATTACAGCGCAAAACACTGTAATTTTAACTGCCCTCTTTTCAAATTAAGGTTTTACAATACAAAAACACTCCCATTAATTCCCAC